ATATTAGAGATAGTGACAGATATAGATAGAATAATATGGAGCAGTGGTTCTCAACCTAGGCTCCCCAGATGTTTTTGGCCTACAACTCCCAAAAATCCCAGCCTGTTTACCAGCTGTTAGGATTTCTGGGAATTGAAGGCCAAAAACATCTGGGGACCCCAGCTTGAGAACCACTGATAGGGAGGCTCAACTCCATATTAGATAGATAGATACAGATATAGATAATACTTCTGAGGAGGTCCAACTCCATTATACATAATACTTCTGAGGCCCAACTCCATATTATATAGATATATAGAGATAGAATAATACTTCTGAGGAGGCCCAACTCCACATTAGATTGACAGAGAGAGATATATAGATAGATAATACTTTTGAGGAGGCCCAATTCCATAGTAGATAGAGATAGATAGATAGATAGTACTTTTGAGGAGACCCAACTCCATATTATATAGATAGATAGAGATAATATTCCCGAGGAGGCCCAACCCGATATTAGATAGATAGATAAATAATACTTCTGAGGAGACCTAACTCCATATTAGAGATAGATAGATAGATAATACTTCTGAGGAGGCCCAACTCCATATTAGATAGAGATAGAGATATATAGATAGAATACTACTTCTGAGGAGGCCCAATTCCATATTAGAGAGAGAGAGAATATATTTCTGAGGAGGCCCAACTCCATATTAGAAAGAGATAGATAGACAACACTTCTGAGGAGGCCCAACTCCATATTATATTGATAGAGAGATAGATATACTTCTGAGGAGGCCATATTATAAAGAGATAATATTATTAAGAGGCCCAACTCCATATTATATTGATAGAAAGATAGATATACTTCTGAGGAGGCCTAACTCCACATTAGATAGATAGTTATATTCTTGAGGAGGCCCAACTCCATATTATATAGGGACAGAGATAGATATAGAATGATACTTGTGAGGAGGCCCAACTCCATATTATAGAGAGATGGATAGATAACACTTCTGTGGAGGCCCAACTCCATAATATAAATAGATAAACTTCTAAGGAGGCCATATTACAAAGAGATAATATTATAAAGAGGCTCAACTCCATATTAGATAGATAGAGATAGATATACTCCTGAGGAGGCCCAACTCCACATCAGATATAGAGATAATACTTCTGAGGAGGCCCAACTCCATATTAGATCAGTAGGAAGGTAGGTAGGTAGGTAGGTAGGTAGAGATAGAGATACTTCTGAGGAGGCCCAACTCCATATTATATTGATAGTGAGATAGATAGATAGATAGATAGATAGACAATACTTCTGAGGAGGCTCAACTTCATATAATATTGATAGAGATAGACAGACAGAATAATACTTCTGAGGAGGCCCAATTCCATATTATATAGATACATATAGATAGACAATACCTTTGAGGAGGCCTAACTCCTTATTATATTGATAGAGATATACTTCTGAGGAGGCCCAACTCCATATTAGATAGATAGGTAGGTAGATAGAGAGATAGATAGACAGACAATACTTCTGAGGAGGCCCAACTCCATATTAGATAGATAGATAGATATACTTCTGAGGAGGCCCAACTCCATATTATATTGATAGAGAGACAGACAGACAGACAGATAGACAGATAGATAGACAATACTTCTGAGGAGGCCCAACTCCATATTAGATAGGTAGGTAGGTAGACAGATAGAGATATTATATTGACAGAGAGATAAATAGATAGATAGAGATATTATATTGATAGAGAGATAAATAGATAGATAGACAGACAGTACTTCTGAGGAGGCCCAACTCCATATTATATTGATAGATAGATAGATAGATAGATAGATAGACAGACAATACTTCTGAGGAGACCTAACTCCATATTATATTGATAGATAAACAATTCTTCTGAGGAAGCCCAACTCCATATTATATATATATATATATATATATATATAGAGAGAGAGAGAGAGAGAGAGAGAGAGAATACTTCTGAGGAAGCCTAACTCTATATTAGAGATAAATATTGATATAGATAGATAGATAAAGACAATACTTCTGAGGAGGACCAACTCCACATTAGATAGAGATAGATAATACTTCTGAGGAGGCCCAACTCCATATTATATTGATAGAGAGATAGATAGATAGAGAGATAGACAGACAGACAGACAGACTGACTCCTGAGGACGCCCAACTCCATATTATATTGATAGAGAGAGAGAGAGAGAGAGAGACAGACAATACTTCTGAGGAGGCCCAACTCTATATTATATAGATATAGACAATACTTCTGAGGAGGCCCAACTCCATATTAGATAGGTAGATAGATAGAGATAGAGAGATATACTTCTGAGGAGTCCCAACTCCATATTACATTGATAGAGAGATAAATAGACAATACTCCTGAGGAGGCCCAACTCCATATTATATTGATAGAGAGATAGGTAGATAGATAGATAGATAGATAGATAGATAGATAGATAGACAGACAGACAATACTTCTGAGGAGTCCCAACACCATATTAGATAGATAGATAGATAGATAGATAGATAGATAGAGAGACAGACAGACAGACAGACAATACTTCTTAGGAGGCCCAACTCCATATTAGATAGGTAGGTAGATAGATAGATAGAGATAGAGATATTATATTGATAGAGAGATAGATAAATAGATAGATAGACAGACAATACTTCTGAGAAGGCCCAACTCCATATTAGATAGGTAGGTAGAGATATTATATTGATAGAGAGATAAATAGATAGAGATATTGTACTGATAGAGAGATAAATAGATAGACAATACTTCTGAGGAGGTCCAACTCCATATTAGATAGATAGATATAGATAGAATAATACTTCTGAGGAGGCCCAACTCCATATTATATTGATAGAGATAGATATAGACAATACTTCTGAGGAGGCCCAACTCTATATTAGATAGAGATAGATAAGATAATACTTGTGAGGAGGCCCAACTCCACATTAGATAGATAGATAGATAGATATACTCTTGAGGAGGCCCAACTCCATATTATATACAGAGATAGAGATAGACAATACTTTTGAGGAGGTCCAACTCTATATTAGATAGAGATATATAGATAGAATACTACTTCTGAGGAGGCCCAACTCCACATTAGATAGATAGATAGATAGATAGATAGATAGATAGATAGATATACTCTTGAGGAGGCCCAACTCCATATTATATACAGAGATAGAGATAGACAATACTTTTGAGGAGGTCCAACTCTATATTAGATAGAGATATATAGATAGAATACTACTTCTGAGGAGGCCCAACTCCACATTAGATAGATAGATAGATAGATAGATAGATATACTCTTGAGGAGGCCCAACTCCATATTATATACAGAGATAGAGATAGACAATACTTTTGAGGAGGTCCAACTCTATATTAGATAGAGATATAGAGATAGAATACTACTTCTGAGGAGGCCCAACTCCACATTAGATAGATAGATAGATAGATAGATAGATAGATAGATATACTCTTGAGGAGGCCCAACTCCATATTATATACAGAGATAGAGATAGACAATACTTTTGAGGAGGTCCAACTCTATATTAGATAGAGATATATAGATAGAATACTACTTCTGAGGAGGCCCAACTCCACATTAGATAGATAGATAGATAGATAGATAGATATACTCTTGAGGAGGCCCAACTCCATATTATATACAGAGATAGAGATAGACAATACTTTTGAGGAGGTCCAACTCTATATTAGATAGAGATATAGAGATAGAATACTACTTCTGAGGAGGCCCAACTCCACATTAGATAGATAGATAGATAGATAGATAGATAGATAGATATACTCTTGAGGAGGCCCAACTCCATATTATATACAGAGATAGAGATAGACAATACTTTTGAGGAGGTCCAACTCTATATTAGATAGAGATATAGAGATAGAATACTACTTCTGAGGAGGCCCAACTCCACATTAGATAGATAAATAGATAGATAGATACATTCTTGAGGAGGTCCAACTCCATATTATAAACAGAGATAGATATAGATAGAACAATACTTCTGAGGAGGCCCAACTCCACATTAGATATAGAGATAGATATAGACAATACTTTTGAGGAGGCCCAACTCCACTTTAGATAGATAGATAGATATACTCTTGAGGAGGTCCAACTCCATATTATATACATAGATATAGCTAATACTTTTGAGGAGACCCAACTACATATTAGGTAGATAGATAAAGATAGACAATACCTTTGAGGAGGCCCAACTCCTTATTATATTGATAGAGATAGATATACTTCTGAGGAGGCCTATCTCCACATTAGATAGATAGATAGATAGATATACTCTTGAGGAGGCCCAACTCCATATTATATACAGAGATAGAGATAGACAATACTTTTGAGGAGGTCCAACTCTATATTAGATAGAGATATAGAGATAGAATACTACTTCTGAGGAGGCCCAACTCCACATTAGATAGATAAATAGATAGATATATTCTTGAGGAGGTCCAACTCCATATTATAAACAGAGATATAGATAGAACAATACTTCTGAGGAGGCCCAACTCCATATTAGATATAGAGATAGATATAGACAATACTTTTGAGGAGGCCCAACTCCACATTAGATAGATAGATAGATAGATATACTCTTGAGGAGGTCCAACTCCATATTATATACATAGATATAGCTAATACTTTTGAGGAGACCCAACTACATATTAGGTAGATAGATAAAGATAGACAATACCTTTGAGGAGGCCCAACTCCTTATTATATTGATAGAGATAGATATACTTCTGAGGAGGCCTATCTCCACATTAGATAGATAGATAGATATACTCTTGAGGAGGCCCAACTCCATATTAGAGAGAGACAGAGACATAGATAGAATACTACTTCTGAGGAGGCCCAACTCCCTATTAGATAGACACACACACACCCACAGCCGGAGTGTTGGTGGTGGTGTTGAGGAGGCGCAGGGCCTACCTACCTGTGAGGCGGATTTTGATGCTGGACCCGCTCCGCCGGCTTCCCGCGTTCGACATGGTGGTCCCTTCAGGCGGAGGGCCGAGCGGAGGAAGGGAGGAAGGCGCAGGCCGGGGCCGCCTCCATCCGGGCCCCTTCTCCCTCTCCTTCTCGCTTCCTTTCCCTCTCCTCACGAACAAGAGAAGCAGCAGCGGCGGCGGAGGCGGCGCCGCCTCACCGAGCTCGACGCCCGCCCCGCCGGACGCCCACTGCGCCTGCGCGGGAAACGCCTCGCGCCGCCCCTCGCTTTCCCCTCCCCTCTGACGCAACCAACGCGTGGCGTCACCACCCCGTGCGTGCGTCACAGCTCGCCTCCCGCCGCCATCTTGGGGAGGTCGCCACCATAGGACGCAGGCATGGGCCAACTTGGGCCCTCCCTCCCTCCCTCCCTCCAGGTGTTTTGGACTACAACTCCCACAATTCCTAACAGCCGGTAGGCTGTTAGGAATTGTGGGAGTGAGTCCAAAACACCTGGAGGGAGGGAGTGAGGGAGGGCCCAAGTTGGCCCATGCCTGCAATTTTATTTATTTTCTTATGTATATTTATATCCTCATTTCCTCATCTTTATTTACTTATTTATTTAATAATTTATTTTTTATTTATAATTTTTATTAATTTCCATCCTTATTTCCTGATCTTTATTTGCTTATTTATTTATTATTTATTTATTTGATACACTTGTATACCGCTAATATCTCAGCCTAGAACGGCGACTCATTGCGGTTTACAGCAGTTAAAACAATCTACAATTTAAAAACATATACACATACAATAACAAATTATTGGGCCACCAATAATAATCCCATATATCTCGAGTTGAAATCACAATCCAGAATTCGTTGTCCATATTTCCTGTCCTTAGTCATCAATATTCGAATTGCCACAGATTAGCCGAATGCTTGTTTGAACAGCCAAGTTTTGAGTCTCTTCCTAAACACCATCAGCGAAGAGGCTGATCGTACCTCTATAGGGAGGGTGTTCCAAAGCTGGGGGGCCACCACAGAGAAGGCCCTGTCTCTCGTTCCCGCCAGCCGCACTTCTGAAGCTGGAGGGATAGAGAGAAGGGACTCTCCGGAAGATCTTAGGGTCCTGTTATGTATTTAACAATTTATTTTTATTTATTTCTATCCTTATTTCCTGATCTTTGTTTACTTATTTATTTACTTATTTATTTTATAATTTATTTATATTAATTTCCATCCTTATTTCCTGATCTTTATTTACGTATTCAATCAATAATTTATTTTTATTTATTTATTTCCTTATTTCCTGATCTTTGTTTACTTATTTATTTAATGATTTATTTTTATTTATGATTTGATTAATTTCCATCCTTATTTCCTGATCTTTGTTTACTTATTTATTTTATAATTTATTTCTATTTATTTCTATCCTTATTTCCTGATCTTTATTTACTTATGTATTTTATAAATTATTTTTATTTATCATTTTATTCATTTAATAATTTATTTTTATTTATCATTTTATTAATTTCCATTCTTATTTCTTGATCTTTACTTACTTATGTATTTAATAATTTATTTTTATTTATACTTTTTATTAATTTCCATCCTTATTTCCTTATCTTTATTTACTTATTTATTTAATAATTTATTTTTATTTATTATTTTATTCATTTCCATCCTTATTTCCTGATCTTTATTTACTTATGTATTTTATAATTTATTTTTATTTATAATTTTATTAATTTCCATCCTTATTTCCTGATCTTTATTTACTTATTTCACAGCGTTGAAATCTTGGACAGAGGAGGCGAAAGAACTTGTAAAACTATAGTCTCCCCTGATTTCACAGCACTGAAATATTGGACAGAGGAGGCAAAAGACCTTGTAAAACTACATCTCTCTCCTGATTTCACAACACTGAAATATTGGACACAGAAGGTGAAAGATGTTGTAAAACTATAGCTCTCTCCAGATTTCACAGCACTGAAATATTGGACAAAGGAGGCGAAAGACTTTGTAAAACTACAGCTCTCTCCTGATTTCACAGCACTGAAATAGTGGACAAAGAAGGTGAAAGACCTTGTAAAACTACAGCTCTCCCCTGATTTGTAAAACTTGTAGAACTTGTAAAACTACAGCTCCCCCCGATTTCACAGCAATGAAATTTTAGACACAGAAGGCGAAAGACCTTGTAAAACTACAGCTCCCCCCGATTTCACAGCAATGAATTTTTGGACACAGAAGGCGAAAGACCTTGTAAAACTACAGCTCCCCCTGATTTCGCAGCACTGAAACCTTGGACAAAGATGGAGAAAGACCTTGTAAAACTACAGCTCTCTCCTGATTTCACAGCACTAAAATATTGGACAAAGATGGAGAAAGACCTTGTAAAACTACAACTCTCTCCTGATTTGACAGCACTTAAATTTTGGACAGAGAAGGTGAAAGACCTTGTAAAACTACAACTCTCTCCTGATTTCACAGCACTGAAATATTGGACAAAGATGGAGAAAGACCTTGTAAAACTACAGCTCTCTCCTGATTTCACAGCATTGAAACATTGGACAAAGAAGATGAAAGACCTTGTAAAACTACAGCTCTCCCCTGATTTCACAGCACTGAAATATTGGACAAACATGGACGAAGACCTTGTAAAACTACAGCTCTCTTTTGATTTCACAGCAATGAAGCAAAAGTGGTGTCAAACAACATTGTTTCTACAGTGCGGATGCACCCTAACCCTCATAATGTTAAATATTAACACGTGGGATCAGGCAATAACATATATGTGATCTTTGTGTTTACACTAATTGTAGCACGTGAGGAACTGGTTCTGCTGGACTTTCTCGAAGAGAAGACCAGTCTTTCGCTATGGAAATTGTTTTGGGTTTTCCCCCTACTGTAAGTCATCAACTCCACTGGACTGGTCACATTCTCCGAATGCTCAAGGATCACCGTTACTCTACTCTGAACTCTTTTCATGTCTGTGGACATGAAAAGAGATTTAAAGATCGGCTTAAAACCAACCTTAAAAACTCTGGCAGAGACAACGAGAGAGAACTGGGAAGCCCTGGTCCTTGAGTGCTCTAACTGGAGGTCAGCTGTGACCAGCAGTGCTGCAGAATTCGAATAGGCACGAACGGAGGGCAGAAGGGAGAAACATGCCGAGAGGAAGAAGGCGTATCAAGCCAACCCTGACCAGGACCACCTTCCGTCTGGAAACCGATGCCCTCACTGTGGGAGAACATGCGCATCAAGAGTAGGGCTCCACAGCCACCTACGGACCCACCACCAAAGACACCACATCTGGAAGACTATCATCCTTGAGCTACAAGGGATTGCCTAAGTAAGTAAGTAACCAGCCAATCCTTCTCCAATGCCAGAAATACAGCTTAATGGTGTAACATTAGAAAATGTTGACCATTTCCGCTCCCTTGGCAGCCACCTCTCCACAAAAGTCAACACTGACACTGAAAGACAACATCGCCTGAGCTCTGCAAGTGCAGCATTTTTCTAAATGAAGCAGAGAGTGTTTGAGGACCGGGACATCCGTAGGGATACCAAGGTGCTTGTTGATAAAGCCATTGTCCTCCCAACCCTGCTATATGCCTGCAAAACGTGGACTGTCTACAGACGTCACATGCAACTCCTGGAACAATTCCATCAGTGCTGCCTCCGGAAAATCCTGCAAATCTCTTGGGAAGACAAGCAGACAAACGTCAGCATGCTGGAAGAAGCAAAGACCACCAGCACTGAAGCAATAGTCCTCTGCCATCAACTCCACTGGACCGGTCACGTTGTCCGGATGCCTGACCACCGTCTCGCAAAGCAGTTGCTCTACTCCAAACTCAAGAACGGAAAACGTAATGTTGGTGGACAGGAAAAGAGATTGAAAGATGGGTTCAAAGCCAGCCTTTAAAACTCTGGCATAGACACCCAGAGAGAACTGGGAAGCCCTGGCCCTTGAGCGCTCCAGTTGGAGGTCAGCTGTGACCAGCAGTGCTGTGGAATTTAAGAGGCACGAATAGAGGGCGAAAGAGAGAAATGTGCCAAAAGGAAGGCATGTCAAGTCAACCCCGACCGGGACCACCTTCCACCTGGAAACCGATGTCCTCACTGCGGGAGAACAGGCAGATCAAGAATAGGGCAACATGGCATGCAGTCCAGTGAAGTTGATGACTGAGGATCATGGTTTCTATGCTGGTGGTCTTTGCATCTTCCGGAACGTTGATGTTTGTCAGCCTTTCTTCCCAAGAGATTTGCAGGATTTTTCGGAGGCAACGCTGATGAAATCGTTCCAGGAGTTGAGTGTGACATCTGTAGACAGTCCACGTTTTGCAGGCGTAGAACAGGGTTAGGAGGACAATAGCTTTATAAACAAGCACCTTGGTCTCCCTACGGATGTCCTGGTCCTCAAACACTCTCTGTTGGGAGTGCTTTGATGGTGTATTAATGTATGGATTGCATGGCCCTTGGAGGGCTTCTCCAACTATATGACAATCTAACCCTTCCAGGAGTTGCATGTGTCATCTGTAGACAGTCCACATCTCGCAGGCATATAGCAAGGTTGGGAGGACAATAGCTTTATAAACAAGCACCTTGGTATCCCTACAGATGTCCCGGTCCTCAAACATTCTCTGTTGGGAGTGCTTTGATGGTGTATTAATGTATGGCTTGGATGGCCCTTGGAGGGCTTCTTCAACTGTATGACAATCTAACCCTTCTAATCTGGGTATGATGACACTTTCTTTCTGGTGTTGAATTGCAATTCCGAGTTACTTACTTAAGGGATACCTCGTTGGCCGAGGATCAGTGTTCTGGTGGGTCCGTAGGTGACTGTGGAGCCCTATTCGTGATTCGTGATCTACATCTTCTCCCACCGTGAGGGCATTGGTTTCCAGGCGGAAGGCGGTCTCGGTTGGGGTTGGCTTGATGCGCTTTCCTCTTGGCACGTTTCTCTCTTTCACTCTCCATTTGTGCCTCTTCAAATTGTGCAGCACTGCTGGTCACAGCTCACCTCCAGATGGAGCACTCAAGGGTCAAGGCTTCCCAGTAGCCCTAGGTAAAGGATGATGGGTGTCACAGCCCTGTTGCTACTAGGGGTTTATAACAGGCTTTTTCTAAGTAAGAGGAGGGATCAGAACCTTTTCTGTTACAGCTCCCACAAGTTAATTGGGCGTGTTATCGGCTCCTGTATATAACACTAGCTTGAGCTTTGCATTTTGGCTTAGCTTGATG